TCCTGCTGAGTTGAATATCCACAGTGTTTCAAAGCTCATAAAAAAGCCATTGCCTGGCTTCTTTGCCACAGAAAAGTGGTTACTTTTTCATCTTTCCATGCCACTTCTAATAGGATAGAAATTATTAAAAGAATAATAACAAATAGAAGGTAACAGGCACCATAAAAGCATTCTCCCAAAGTTCATGTTTGCTAAAGCTTCTGATTTAGTGTACATTAAGTAATGTGATATTTATTTAGGGTATCTTTTAATCATAGACCAAACCAAGTACCATATTCAACAGCCACTCTTGGGTAGGATTTTTCCTTGGTCCCAGGACTGCTGCAGCTCCAAGACTCACAACTGGAGCTTTGCAGAACTTCAGAGTGTATAACCAAATTATCATTCTTTTTAAAACAAGCTCTCCTGTAACAGTTTGGGCCATTGTGCCTGATTTTCTGGATTTCTACATGATCCTTATTGCTTCTGATGCCCCATCTGGAAGCCAAATGAAAGTTTGCATCAAAGCTCCAGGAGAGCTAGGGAGAGGCAGTGCTGACATCCATCAGCCTTTTAGCTCTCTGTAACTGGATTGCTTTCAGACACATGTGCTACTAACAATTCATTTGCACTTAATTGATCACAATTTTGTTTTTATAATAATCAAATAATGCTCAGGAGGCCTCATTAGTGCTACAGTACTACTTAATTTAGCTGACTCAAAAGAAATCTCTCTAGTGAAAAGCAGGTAGGTTTAGTGTCACTTTAAATTCCACTGAAGGTAACAAAGCTTTACTCATTCAAGAAAAATTTCTTGGCAGCCTGAAAAAGCACAGTCCTTCACCACAGTGTTTGCAAGGCCTTCATCTGATGACAAAGGGTTAGATTTCAGGTAAAAAATTCTTATTTCTTTAACCTATCAGTACTTTTAAAATGCCTAGCAAGAATAGTTAACATTTTTTATATTACATCAAGCAAGGAAACAACCCCTCATTTTAAGAAAGCTCCCTGGTAAGCACTGAGAGCAGGGATCATGCATTTCAGTCTGCCCTCTCAGACTGCTTTTAAAACACTAAACCACAAAGGACTCCACATTAAAACAGCACAAAAAAACCCCAACCCAAAAACATCCAAAAGAAAATCAGAAGTTGCTCTTGCTTTTCCTCCTTCTGCTGGAAACAGAAATGAACTTCATTGATTGCTTTCAGAGATGGGCAGTGTGGACAAGCAGAACTGGAGCATCACCTGCCCACCAGCCTGTTCCCAGCTAAGCCACCAGCACAGGAAAAGGAGCACTCGGGGTGGCAGGGGGGGCACATTTTGCTAAATCAGAGGTATGAAGTTTGCTGGCCACAGACAGGCTGTCACATATTCTCCCTCAGGATCCACAGTCCAGATTTGCATCCCTAAGCATTCACACATCCCACACATTTTGTTGCTCTTTGTTCTCCCAGCTTGGAGATGTGTTGGGGATTATTAAAGTATCAAAACATTTGTCTTGCTCCTACAGCTAGATTTAGACTCCAAAAACCTGACTTGCCAGAGATGTTTCCGTCTCCTACTATACTCCACACATATTTATCAAAATATTCACAGTAAGGCAAGGTGAGAACATCTCCAACAGCCCTTCAGTTTTTTGGGATGTCTGCTTTCTGCTTTTATGTTAGAAAACTATCCCTTGCAGCTAAAATCCATTTCCCTTAAGAGCACAGACCCTCTCCTCCCAAGTTGTGCAAAAAATCCCATTCCTTTAAAATCCATGCACTTAATTCCAAAGAATATAATTAGAAACATGGTCAAAATGGGAAGAATTGAATTACTGAGTTCAAACCTCTCTCATTTTTGGTCACTTCCTTAACGGTCAATTTATCAATGTTAATCTTAGAAGTAGTTTCTCATTCTCCTCCCTCCCATTCCATAACTATTCCCCAAACTGTACTTTTCTGGCAAGTGAAAACTTCCTTCTTATTCCAGCCTATGCCTACACATGGCCATTTTGTTCCTGTGCCAACATTGCCTCTCAGCTCAACCAGTTCCTGCTGTATTGCAGGCAGGAGGTATCACATCTTATTTTGCTGAGCTAAACCAAGGCAAGATCTACCAGAGGTCCTGCTGGTCCTTGCTGCCTCTGTTACCCTGCTTTTGCAGCACCACGGCCAGAGCAACCAGGCCAAATGCCTTGTGATAGTCTGGCTCCAACCTGAGATCAGCTACTCCAGGGTGCAAAATTACCTCTTCTTCGAAAGACAGGATGGCCTTAGGGATAGAGATAACTGCTAGGATAAAAGGGAACTTTCGGTTGGAAGATAGCACCCTTTCCCAGCTGGAAAAGTCAGCTGAAGGCAAAGAGAAAGGGCACATTTGGTCAAGCAGTAGGGACACTGGCTTGGTTAGCAGGCTCTGCTTCTCTCGAGTGGTAAAGGATCCAAGTTTGGTGGAAGCCTCCACCAATATGGTGCAGAAACACCAGACCTGTGGTGGGATGTGCTTGGGAAGAGACTGTGGAGGCTTGGAGGGAATGGGGAAAGAGATTTCAGAGATGAAAAAAGAAAAGGGATAAAAGTACTAAGAATTAGGGCCCTAGTTGGCAGGGGCACTAGTCCAGAGGCTGCCCCAGGCTGTGCTGAGCTGCCTCTGGCCAAACACCATCCATGCCCACCAGCAGCCACCACTCAGCTCTGCAGCTGCAGCCAGGCTGAGCAGGGCCTTGTACTCTCTGCATCCCTTACAAGGGGCTGCAAAGGGCCCTGTGACAGTCCAGGTGTTGCTTCTTGAGTAAACAGGAGCTGTGCAATCACTAAAAGCAAGCAGTAAGTGCTAGCCAGAGGGAGGAAAATTACTGTATTCCCAGAGGGATTCTGAATCTCCAGATTCTCTCGAGTGGTAAAGGATCCAAGTTTGGTGGAAGCCTCCACCAATCTGGTGCAGAAACACCAGACCTGTTGAGGGATGTGCTTGGGAAGAGACTGTGGAGGCTTAGAGGGAATATGGAAAGAGATTTCAGAGATGAAAAAAGAAAAGGGATAAAAAAGTACTAAGAATTAGGGCCCTAGTTGGCAGGGGCACTAATCCAGAGGCTGCCCCAGGCTGTGCTGAGCTGCCTCTGGCCAAACACCATCCATGCCCACCAGCAGCCACCACTCAGCTCTGCAGCTGCAGCCAGGCTGAGCAGGGCCTTGTACTCTCTGCATCCCTTACAAGGGGCTGCAAAGGGCCCTGTGACAGTCCAGGTGTTGCTTCTTGAGTAAACAGGAGCTGTGCAATCACTAAAAGCAAGCAGTAAGTGCTAGCCAGAGGGAGGAAAATTACTGTATTCCCAGAGGGATTCTGAATCTCCAGATGGCACTGTAACATCATCCCCAGAAGCAGACGGTTTGGTACCCGAGCAAATACGGTAACAGCTGAGTCCGTTTGCCTGCTGTGCATAATTACTCATCCCATTGCAACCATGATTTACAGGCTACAAATGCTAGAGCTGCCCTTTCATGTCAATGCAAACCTTAGATATTAAAGCTTCATGCATGTTTTGTGCAGCACAGCTGGAGGGAAACAGACTGTTTTGTCCTAACAACCTGGTATAAAAAGATCTTGCCAGCATTGCCAATTACTACCAAAATCTTCAGTGAGGGTTTAGGAAAAAGGTTTAGGTTACAAGTGCACTTGTCTGTCACTCTTGCCCTGGGAGGTAAAGCAAAGCAAACCCAGGAGGGGTGAGATGTCCACATGAGATTCCAGTAAACTGCAAGGCTGCCTTTCTGCTTGGCTTTGGAGCTCCTGGCACAGCCAGCTGCTCCTCTCAACACGGGGGAGTGCTCTCCCACACAGGATTCCCACCAAACACAGCAACACAGAATGCATTTCAGAGATCCTAGACAAACACAGCAGTTACCCCCTCTCACAGTTCAGTCTTTCACTGCAGGCTAAACTGCCAGGCTCACTCTTACCAGCCATGTTATTTCCTGCTGACTGCCCAAAGCATGAAGGAGTTTCAGAACATCAGTCTTCAGGAGTTAGAAAACTTCATATGTGTTAGAAAACTGAGCTCCTACATGCAGCAAAGGCTGTAAAAATACAACACATACACCTAACAGAAAAATATAGATGCTGAGCTGTGCCTTGGCCTGCTTAAATGGGTGGTGAAATAAAGGCTGAAACTACCAGATTCCTTGAAGAAATCAAATATAGACTGAAGATGTAATTCAATCAGATTTCGAGAATATGTCAAAAGGAAAGGCCCTTCTCAGTGCCCAGCAGGTTTCCCTCAACACTACCTCTATGTAAGGTAGTTCAGCTGTCTCTCAGCACCTTTTTACCCAATAGACTTGCCTTCTTTCCAAAACATTTCAGCATTTCACTGTGACAGTGGCTGAAACACTGGAGCTGTCCTGCACAACATGTTGTCACCACACAGTGCTCACTGAGGTAGCTCCATACTCTTCTATTAATCATCATAAAAACATCAGCTGGCATGAACCACCTGGGTGACTCAATCCAGACCCTCAGGCAACCATGTAATGAGTAGTCATTCTTCAATGTTTATAAAACATCTGCTCCATGTAGCCTCAAAATTCCCTGTTTTCTCTTTCTCATGATGAGTCCCTAAGAGGCAGCAGCAGGTGACCTAGAAGCTGAGGCTCATAGAGCCAGGGAGAATATGGCTGGGGGGAGGGG